GGGTGTCCCTAGGCATCTAGGTATGAAGCTTTGGAAATTCTGACTCCTCCGCAGAGGACGCGGCTGCTATGCTGATACTGTAACCGATAAAACGACGTCCTTCCAAAAGCAGAGTGTCCTTTTATCTCCTCCTGCCCTTTCCTAGCAGTGTAAAGTAGGTCTATTTATAGCCCAACGCCAGCTGCCTGGCTTGGGGAGGGGGGCCGGTTCCTTGTCCTAGTTACTGGGGTGTGTAATTTGGCTGAATTTCTTTTCTCCAATAACTGACACCGGATCCTAGACACTGGCCAGCCTTTGTCCCCTCTCCTGGCTCATTAGAGTCGTGGCACCTTCCTGTTTGCCTGCATTTTGCACGCTCAGCCGGTGAACTTTGTCTTCGCCGGGAGGTGTGTTCAGTCGGCTTTTTTTTCCTTTTGTACGTCATGCCTGCGGGGCATTGGACTTCCAGCATGTTAGGCTGTAATAACAAGTTGTTTTTGGGTGTCTGGGAAAAGCTTGCGCAATTGGCCATTCAGTCTGGCTGCGTGCTGACCCAGCACTTGTAGTCTCGGATAGGCGAAGGTCATTGAGGTGAGCGACTATTGGAAAATGTCGGCATTTCTTTTACAACTGGTAACATTGAGGCTGTTTGCTAATCTTGGGTCACCTGGACCAAACAATAAAAGTACAAATTAATAGTGTAAACTACAATGACCATGTGACTTCCTTCCCCTCCCCAAATCGGTGTTCTCATCACCCCAGCAAATATCTTTTGGTATATAAACCAAATCTAATATTGCACTTTACCAGTTCCTAGACATGCTGGCTGCATGGCCTATTTTAGACTTTTTCCCCTGGAGATCCAGCCAGTAACGCCTCCTGTGCCAGGGTGACAACCCACCGGTTGTACTGCATCAATTAAGGAGCAGTGTTGTCGTCCTGGGCTGCTCTCCTGATTAGGACTACAGGTGCCCCCCTAGTGTCGTATGGTAAGAAGGTGCCCTGTAGTTACAGAAAATGGCTGAAGCTTTGTTTACATTCCACTCCACAGGAAGTTAAGGACAGGATTTGTGGCAGGATCAACAGGTTTTCTGTAGCAGCCAAAAATGCAGCAACACCATGAAGTGAATTTTCTGCAAAGGACTGGTAGACTGCAATATGGCCTTCACCCACTAAATGTCAAATGGGCCTATTAATTGCTTATAGTAACCTCATGTGAATGTCAGGGTGAAGCAAACAGTTTGCTTTAGTCTTCTTCATTCCTGTCCCCCCAGCGTACACCCTGCCAATTCTGTCATTGATGATGGCATTTAGATGCCATGCCCAGCACTTCCAAGGTGTGGATGAGCATGTGATGGTCACGTGACTCCTCTTTCTATACCCCCTGTGTAAGCATGGACTCTGGTGACTTGTAGCTTACACAGGGCAATTCCTGCCAAGACCTCTCAAGACTGGCAGACTGAGCATGGCCCAACTGTTCATCTGTATCTGTCTACACCTAGATGTGCTGACACAACTCCTCCATATCTACATCTTTTCCTTCATTGGTAACCCCCCCCCCCCCC